ATTAAAAATAAAAAGATAAAAAGCGTTTGTACAAAGACGGCGTGTTAATTTTATCCGTTTTGGATAAAAGCACCTTTGCTCGTTCTAGTGTGGACGATGGAGGAAAAGGCATCAAAAAGAGAGGTTTTTAAACGCATTAGTGTGTACGGAACCTTAGTATCCCGTATTACCTGATTATGGTAATGCTACTATGTTTCTTTACTCGCTCAATCATGAGAAACGCTTAAACTATTCTTGTCTCCACCAGAACATTCCGTGTAACAAAGAATTAAACACAACTCAGTTGACCAAACAATACTTTCTTTGAGGAGAACGTTTTGTTGTCGTCCTTAGGGTAGTTTTATTTATCCTGGTTACTGTTCGCCTCGCTGGTTTTTTTTTTTCGTCGGATTGTCGATACGTTGTCTTTGATAGAAATTCGAGTCCTTGGTCTCAAGCGATTCTGTAAAACCTCTTAAATAGAATCACCGTTGGCCGTACAATGTGTCCGCATAACGGAGTGGTCATATTAAAGATGTTCTCCAAATAATAAATGTTGAATAACTGAACAATTTTTGGGAGCTAAAAATCTGGCCGAAATAAATGATGTGGTGGTTTAAAGACGGTGTGATTGTAAGGCGAGATGTTACTGTTTTAATAAAGGCTTGATGTTTTAGTTATCCTAATTTTTAGGTTTCGTTTCAACCCGGCTGTCAGCATATGGGCGAAAAACTCTTTTGTTAGGTCATTCTTTGCGTGAATTTTTGTTTGGAAAGAAACCAGTTTGTTGTTAAGTTCTCAAAAATCAATTTCTCGAGCTTCAACGCAGACGGTGAATAATTTTTAAAAAATCCGTTGAAAAGATGCGTTGATTTTGTTATTTTTATTTTATTGGTGACCAGCCCTGGAGATGCGAGCCGGGAGGATTTCCTTGTTTACCAACGGCTGCATAACCATTACTTTAACATATAGATTTCTGACAGAGTTAATGTAAAGACATTTAATTATTGTGTTTACTCTAACGATTAATAATCTAAGTAATCGTTATGTTGTTGTATTTGGGAGGTAAGGCGAAAGAAATCTTTACCTGGATTTACAAAGGAAACAACCGTTTCCTTTTGCTTCGAAAACCTGGCAATTCTTCAGGCTCTTTCAGTTCTTCACTACCGGTAAACAGACGACTGGTTTTGACGAGCCTTATCGATTATGGAAAAAATATTTTCCAGGCACAACTTCGAGCAGATGCAATACAGCAAAGTTTATCACTTTGGTCAAGCGACTGATGCATTTCCTAGAGAGCGAAGACTAAATAGTTCTTTCATTGCAAACAATGCAGGCTCCACAGTGTTCCCTCCGCTTCTAAAACGAAAAGAAAAAAAAAAAAAACGAAAAACGTCAATGAACACCATTTATTAACAATGAGGAATTTTCAGATATAATATTAAGCGATTAAATGGTTGACTTGAGAATGCAAAAAACGAGAGAAAGCCGTTAAAATCGATACTAAATAAAACAAAAATACTTTGAATTGAGCAAAGTAAAAAAATTTTGACAGGTTTTTTATATCTTAGATTTTCAAATTTTCAATATATTCCTCTTTTAAATAAATAAACAATAGCCTCCATTTGGCGCGAAAATATGCTGGGATATTTGTACATTATCTGTTCCAAGAAGCGAAGAGTTTTACGAGAGCGTAGCTCGAGCTAAACTGTGAGCTTCGAGGAACAGACAAGGACAAATATTCCACATATTATGACGCCAAATGGAGGCTATTGTGTTTAGTATTCTTCAAATCTATTTCACAGCACGCGCAGTTTTGATAATTGGGGAATATTCTCGGATATTCCTCAGTTTTAGCTGGGGAATATTTGGTCACGTGACGTGTTTAGACCAATCGTGCGAGAGCGAAAACATTGGATGCATTACAATTAGATTTACTGTCACGCTGGGAAGAAAGGTTTCGTTGTTCAACTTCAAGTTGCGCAGTGACCAACGGTGAAATTTGAGATAAGGAAGTTTTATCGGCTCATAAGTTTGTTCTTGCAGTTGAGAGCCTTGTGGGAAGGATCTTTGCTTCTTCAGAACCTCTAATTTCATTTGCTTGTTGTATCATGCACTTCTATCTTATAAGTGGCTTGGCTTACTGTTTCTTTTGCTCGTGTTCTCGTTTTCTTATTCTCGTTCCCAGATTCATCTATCCCTCTAAGCCGGCGGAAAGGTAAATCTGGAGACTCCTGATTTGATTGGCTAGACTCTTGGATTAAGATTTTCCCTAATTTAACGCTGTTTTCCTTTCCAAAAAAATTCTCCTGATGTATTTCTTAACGTGGTCGATTACGGCACATGCAGACCTAAAAAGATTTAAGTTAACAAAGGAAACTTCAGCAGGAGTAAGATTCTGACCGGAAGTGGTATTCGCGTGTTTCTTGTGGAGGGTTTCACTGAAACTTCTCCCTGTAAGCCAGTTTCTAATTTCTTGAAAATCTCTAGGTGCCGTGAACGAACGGTTTGTGTCAGAGATCAACCAGTGATACTTTTGGAAAGAAAACCAGGAATAAGTCATAGAAAGAATCTTAGTCCAAGAATCTAGCCTATCAAATAATTTCTCTAGGCCCATCAGTTCCTCGTATTGAGGCTCCAAAGGCTAAGAGGAACAAGCGGCTTAGAGGATGAGAAAGTTGTCTTCTCATTCAATCCCATTAGTCCATGCAAGAGAAGCATGGCGCCCCCAGTCCAATTGCTGTTTTCCTGATTCTGTGTTTACTTAGTAAAGACTGAAGGGGCCGTCAACTACATAGGTCTCCGCTTAGATTGCGAGAAAGCTCTGTCGGGAATTAGA